GGCATATCTGTACCGCCGAAACGCGGAAACGATAGGAACCACCCATTACAATGGGCGTCCCGCCTGGGTCTCGTTCAATTCTCTTTGATGTAGACTCGAGCCAATAGCACCTGGAAGACAAGGCCTGTTGCCAAAACGTCGTCACTATAGTAGATCCACGCAGCGTGGCCCATAGCTCGCGTCAGTATCGCCGCTAGTGCGTCTTGCAGGGTCTTACAAGTGCGACGCTGAGCACGTGGCGACGCCAGACACATGAGTCTGCCACTTTATGGCGACTCTTGCCGAGCTTCAGCACGTTTGCGGCTTGGGGCGGGCCCAAGAGCGATGACGTCATCAGCAGGCCTTGTGTTGAGCGCGACGGCAAACGATCGACGTTCGACACGGCGATTCCGAACAAAAGGCGCCGTCTTATTTCCTGGTGCTTCGGAGAAGCGTGACGGCTGAAACCGACCATTCAGTGCGAGATGCGCTTTTGGTCACGTGGTTTCTTGGCGCTGTTCTCGTTTGAAGACGCCTATAAAAGCGACGAGACGGCAGAAGGGATTCGTCTTTCGCGCGCGTGGATGTAACCGGGGTTTTTAGCAGCTTCAACATGAGGACAATCGTGAGTATGAATGTCGAATTTTGGTGTTGCACTCGATATCACTTGAAATTTTTTTGTGTGCTTGGGACACACACACACACACACACACACACACACACACACACACACACACACACACACACACACACACACACACACACACACACGCACGCACACACACAAACAGACAATGTTTTCTTCACATTAACTGAAGAGCGTGTTGGTAACAATGACGGGCAACACAAAGAATAAAACAAACTTCGCCCAAGTGTGGCCCTTGCGGTCAGGACAAAACTCCAAAGTTACAAAACCTACCGTTATTGAATTCAAAAGTTATAACCCCTTTCTGCAAATCTTCAGCGAAGAAACGGCAAACTCCACCGGCCTTATATTCTCATTTGAAAATTTCCGAAAATCGCTGATAAGTTTCGAATTAGAGGAGAGTAAGTCCCGGAACTTTGCCATCGTGTCCGAACCGTTAGCGGTACATTTGGGCGGATAATTGTGCGGTGAGAAAAACACTCTTCTTTTTCTAACCATGATGGTGCCATTATATATCTGAACTACAGACTGAACCTTATACATATCCTTGTCTTTCTTCCTATAGCTGCTAGCTATGGTGATCTTGCTGGACGCAATGGCTGCAGTCAACGCTGGTCATCTGGAACACCACCACGAAGACCTCGGCCACCACGAGCACCACGGATTCCACTTCAGTCACGCCCAGAGCTACATCTATGACAACCAGAAAGCACATCACGGATATGGGGGACACGACGAACACGGAGGAGGTGGCTTCCGCCGCTGAGAATGACTATCGGAGGCCTCGATACTCGCCATGTGGTACGTCATTGTTGTCGATATTGGCTAAATGTCCTCTTTAATGCGCCTTTAAGCCAAGGTTTTACTGCTTATACATCATACAGAAAACACGGTCTATACCGACATTGTCTGATACGCGTTTCTTCCTTTATGACGGTCTCGCCACATTGGTGATTCAGAAACTGCCCGCAGACATGCTTGAGCGCCGTGACACTGAGCATGAACGTGTGAGAGCGCATACTTTTTTTTTTTTACGTCTAAGTATATGTTAGGGCGTGCCATTCGTCGAGTTCCCCTCGTAGATGGCAGAGATTGGCCGTCCGGAGTGCCTCCTGGGAAAGTAAACGCTCTAGATTTTTTAGATTGTAGTCCGTTGCAACTTAGGTGCTATACAACACGGCACCCCCCCCCCCCCCCCCCCCATTAAAAACGGCAAACGGAATACCACCCCCCCCCAACCCCCCCCCCCAAAAAAAAAAAAAAAAAAGAGAAAATTCCGAAAGAAAAAATGTGTTATTGAATCTCGGTACAAAAACGCGCAACTCTTCATTCGTCAAGGGAGGGGTAGAGCATCCGTTATCTCCACCTTGTACCCAATGCGCACCGACTCATTAAACAATAGAGAACAGACAGCGTTACGTTCGGAGCCTCTCCTGCAATTCGTAGGGGCCCGATACCTTATGGTCACTTCGAGCTTGAGGAACGCACGGCGTGACTTACTATGTTCGCACGTCTTGCTTCGGGATTCGATCTTCGGCACTCTTGTCGACTAACGCCGCAACCTTGTTTGCTGGAGGCCGATAATTAGAAGCCCGAGACCGGCCACTTCCTGGGTGTCTTAAGGTGTCGGCGACTGTGGGGTGCCTTTTACGTGTACGCACCTACTTCACCCTCTTACTCTTTCCTCTATGATTATTCAAAATGTGCCACGATTAGCTAAACGTATAGAGCCAAAATGAAGCCACTGACGCGACCGTGCGCGGCACAACAGGCATCTTTCTTATGCCAGAATTTAATTTATAAAAGGAACTTTTTCAGTTACCTTTCAGCGCAAGACACGGCTGTCAATGGAACAACCGCGCTTTGAGTTGGACGATAAATGGCCAAATTTTCCGATCAGCGGGCCAAGCGACAGGGCGGAATGAGATATCTTATATCGTAAAAAAGAGAATGGCAGTGGATTGGACCTCGGATATACACAATCAGGTGGACATCCCAACAAGAGAGGGGAATAATTAAGAAAAAAATATTTCGCGTTTCAAATGCCGAGTAAGCACCAAAAAACAAAGGTAGTAGCTTGAAAACGAACTTTCTAGGAAGATTAATACCAGCCGATGTTTCACTAAGAGACCTGGCTATGTATGAAGGCGCAATAAAGAAGCCAGGTCTCTTAGCCGAACGTTGCCGTCCATTCCAGAGCCCATCAAGAACTTCCCTTAGAAAATCTTGTAAATGCTAGAAAGATGAGGGCCATGTGTCGTGTAAAAGAGAATTTGTACCAGATGAAACGTGCAGGCGGCTATTTAGATCAACTCGAGGAATTAACTTGCGCGAGACTGCGTTAAAATGACCCTTGGCAAAGCTACTACGGGCCAGGATCATCAGCCTTTGCAGTCTTTTTTTTTTGTACGTGTAGAATCAACAGGGGAGATCTGGGAGTCTTTCCATGTGCAGTTCAGGTTTTTTTTAAACGAAAAAAAAAAAACCCGACAAGCATACAAACGTAGTAAAAGTAAACAGTATTTTAGTAGTGACATGATTTTTTTTGTTGCTTTACAGTGGAAAAGTCAACACTGCTCATGACCGGTGGAATCAACATTCGCCACCCAAAACTTCAAGTTGTAAATATGTAAAAAAAAAAAAAAGAAACAATAAAAAAGAAAAGAAAAATGATAGAGGAGATGCCTCTTTCTGCTAGAAATGTATAAACTAAATTTAGAGGTGTAATTAATATAACCAGTATTATTATATATATATATGTATATATATTATGTGGCAAGTGTCTTCTTGAATGACGGAGCTGAGAAGGCAAGGTGAAAGCCCTGATGACGTCTGTTGTCTAACCACCCGGTGCTGGAAGAACGCTCGAGCACACGCACACACAGACATGTCAACCACACCCACGCACGGACGTCCAAGCCTTCGGTGTTCAAAAGCTACGATAAAGAAAACGGCATGCTCAAAGCACAGTAGTATGTTGCCCGATGTTGCAAGATAATGCGTGATATAGCTAATCAAATTGGATTCGACGCTACGCTTTTGTTACGGTCGCCGTCTATACATGTAAGCCGCGTAACGCGTACACAAAGTCGACCGACGGACGGAAATTGTGTGGCCCCGTATTCTTTTCGCCCGGAAATCGTGGGCACTTTGTTTGACCCGGATCGAGAACTCAAGCAGAATTGGAAGATTTGACAGCCGCGCTATTCTCGAAAAGTAAATGAACAGTATCGGCTAGACAGGGAGGAGCCCCTATGCTTCTTTCACCCCCAAGCTGGCAGTGTGGTGCGAGCGACGCGCTCACCGAGCCAATGCAAAACCTCCCTTTCAAGGACTGAGCCCGCTCTCTGCGCGTCGGTGCGGGCTGGAGCAAGGCCACGTGGCGAACGATATACTTATGGTTGGTCCAACGAGCACCTATATAGCTTTTAACGCACTGTCAGCTTAGGGGTGAACGGAACATAGATCAGGCTTTGACGGGAACCGTCCAGTCGTGACTGCGGGCCAAGGTGTGTCGTCAAAACAGACCGTTACGTCACCCACTGAATCCGTTTCCCACCATTGCATGGCTATATAAGAAGTGTAGCTCTGTCCGGCCGCTGAGAGCATTCGTCTTTAGGATTCCCTTTTGTGACCCTGGAGAAAGCATGAGTTTCCTTGTACGTGAGTCAAGCCATTCCTGCAACTAACGTGTAGTGAAATATTTTCTGTTTTGAGTATGAAACATAGTTTAGAGGTCTTTTCAGGCGTCTGGTCTTCACACATACAGCTGAAATGGTCGCGTCAAACGCAAAGGCGATTTCATTGAAATTTAAAATGTTAATGATTTCTTTAAAATTTACCTTTAGACTCGAGTATAATATGATTCTTTGAGTGCTCATAGTTGAAAATCTTGCGACAAAGCTGTAGATATCATAAACTATACCTGCTGTTTCGGCTTTTCGTGGTCGCGAGGTTCCTAATGGGGCATTATTGAAATATTCTCTCTTGTAACTGTTTTATCGAAAAATATTGTTTAAGTTAGGGTGAACAATGCCTGTCTATTAAAACAACAACGTTTTCATTTGCGTTAAACCTACTATTTTGAAGAATGTGGTCATGGCTAGATAAGATACGAATACACGAAAGGACAAAAACACAGGACTTCTTTCATTTAGCAATAACATATGGTGTTGCTAAATGAAAGAAGTTTTGTTTCCGTCCCTGCCTTTATGTTTTTATCCTTTTATGCATTCGTATCTAATTCAGCAACACATTGGTTTTCAATTATAGAGTAGATAAACAAGTTTATTGATGTAGCACATGTTCAAATTGCAAATACACTGATCGATGCTGACAACATTGAATGGGTGTAAAAAAGTGTCGCGTACATCACATGATTTACAAGACGCTTTTACCTCCTGATGTCTCCTACACTCCACTCGTTGTGTTCAGTGATATCAAGGGCACAGGGGTAAGATTGTCAACAAAGAATGGCATTGTTTGCTAGAACACTTTCTCAAGCAAAGCTCATCTCTAAAGCTATGTGTTAGTGGCCACATGCCTCCGGCATCACTGTGCAGAACTCTTGCAGATGAAGCGTATGCATTCAATCTTTTTCCAAAGGTTCTGAACGCCTCCATCTTAATGGTCCTGGTGTTGGTTAACGCCGGTGGCTACGGAGGCTACGGCGGCGGTTCGGGTACAACTCACCACTACGACAACCAGAGAGCAGGTGGCTATGGAGGTGGCTACGGCGGCGGCTACGGCGGCGGATACGGTGGTGGCTATGGCGGGGGCTACGGAGGCGGCTACGGACTTGGAGGATTCGGATACGGTGGAGGCTACGGCGGCGGATATGGAAGAGGTTTCAAGTACGGCGTGTCGGTGTCCCATGGTGGATACGGTGGCTATCACGGATAGATTTTGGGCAAACTGTAGTATTTTTTTTTTTTTTTGAAAGAGTAGTTGGCTTGACTGAATGGTAACTTAGCAGTGGTTCGATATTCGATTCTTGTTAAGCCCCCTGTTGCTAGGAGTGTTTCCGTTTGTGAAATAAAATACATTTCCAGGCCCAATATGTCTATGTGTTTCTGCGCCTTTTTTTTAAACACTTTCGACATAATTCTCTTTGCGTACATACTATTTCTACCTTATGTACCTGTCTTATCTAAACAAGAACAAAAATTTCACAGCAAATCATTTTAGGAATATCATTCTTTGTGATCGCACAACAAAATAGTGCCTTTATGTGTCTTTTTTTTATTTCTTGCATACTGTTGGTCTTCTCCGTCCATCGACAGAAAATAGTTATGTGAAGTAAATTCCTTTAACCTCTTCGTACAGTCGTGCTGAATTTGCTCCATTCATTTCTTTTTATATTCTGTCAACATCGATCTAAAAAATGTACCGCAAATTGCCCTACAATTGTGCTGCTACATGAAACTTTCTTGGTTTAGCGCTAGTGGTTTGGCACCACTGGCGCTAAACCAATTGTTTAGTGTAGTTAGAGTGAGTTAGAGTTAGAGATAGTGAGCTGGAGTTAGTTAGTTAGAGTCAGTTAGAGCTAGTTAGAGCTGGAGTTGGAGTTAGAGTTAGAGTCAGAGTTAGAGGTGCTAACTACACTAACTAGCGGGTACGCTTTTTGTGGCTTCCACTTTACCTGAAAACCTAACCTGAAAACGTTCCACGTTAATGAAAAAAAAAATAATAAACGCGCCCAAAGGGCAGCAAAGCACTCTTACAAGGGAATGCTCGCTATATGTACTGACAGTGTAAGAAATGAAAGGCGCGGCTTATCGCGTTTCTTGCTTCGTGATTGGTTATTCGTCTTTCTTATTGGCTAATGCTGCACTCTCATTGGCTGCGGGTAGATAATGTGATGATCAGGACTCGCCATGCCCTGATTTTTTGGAAGTTATCAGGGACTATAGTTACTTTCAAACGTAGAGTCTTTGTGCTGGTGGCCAGACAGTCCAAACAAAGAGCGTGACTCGATGTGTTTATTTCCGTTTGTATAGCAGGTCCAATATTGAACGTGTAGCGCGCTATTAAAATGCATGCAGCGGGAGCAGACGTCGACGTAATTTATTTACACTAAAAATTCCCATGAGTGTGCTTTCTTGTAGAGCACGCAGGACGCCAAATGAGAGAGCTGAAAACGTAGTGAGAGAAAACATTTTGACTGTGGTGTGGCGATGGCTACGACCCTTTATTTGCTTACGTTCTGCTCGCACACTTCAATTAGAAATCGAAACGTTCGTTCCCGATATTGTGAAAAGATATAACTTACTGACCATTCGCGCAGTCTCGGTGGAAGGCAGACGTACCGTTTTAGGGTTGGGCTACAGCCGCGTTGGCTGCTACGATTTAATTGTTTTAAAATTACACTCATCATGAATTTACAGGTTGGCTGGCACACGTTGGTTTCTGGCATGGGCGTGTATGCAGTAAGCAGTAGTTCACCGAGGGTGAGGGTGGAAGGGGGGGGGGGTTGAAAGATGTAAAAACACGCCGGCGTCGTTCAAGAGGAAGGTCAGCAGTTCATCCTAATTCATTCCAGACACCGCTATTACTACGTCACCTTCGTCTTATTCCAGCTTTTGTCTTCCGCCGGACTCTGCAGCGGGTACGCAGATTTAAAGAGCAAAGCAAACTACTTTACTCTGTTAGAACTTACGATGAGTTGCAGTGAACGCTACGAGTCACTGCAACCTATCTAATGTCGCCTGTATGTCAGGTGACCTTCTGGGGCGGAGAACCGGCGCGCGGGACGCGTATTCGGCGATACATTCACAGTGTTGGATTGGCTAAGACGGCTCGTAACGTCCATAGCGATCTATTGCAAGGGGAAACGGACTACAGTCGAAGGTGCCATTTAACGAGGAAGTCGAGTAAGTCAAGCCGAAACATTTTATTTTTCGTCAGCTGCCCAAGGTGACGGGATCAAAAACACTCCCACGAAACCACAATAGGAAATGTTTTCTTCTTTGTTTGTTGTTTTGTTTCTGCACCTTTTCACTCGAAAACTGCAGAAAGCAACAAAGAAAGTTTGCTCGGCGCATATCTCCACACTTCGTACACACATTTAGCTTTTTTTTTTTTTTTTCTCCACAAAAGCGCGGTCGCCACTTCGAGGGGAAACGTCAAGTGTAGGTTATCTCTGACATGTTACGAAGGCGTATTTAATGGACCGTGCCTACCTCGGGAACCAGTCTTAAAGCGACAATTTTCGTTTTGGTACACCACGTGGAGGCTGAGACACTCGAAACCGCTGCCCGATCGGTCGCCCCTCGTTGCAGTATAAAAGGGAGACCCTTGGAGGCCGAGAAGCCAGTTCCTTCCGCAACTCCGCAGCAGTTTAACCATGAGGACTCTGGTGAGTACAGCCCGGAGTTATGACACCTCGCACTGGATACCCCCGGATACTGTTGCTTCAAACCTTTCTAGAACTCTCTTCCTTAAAAAGAGCATTATGTCTTTAAGTTTAAAAGCCTGTTCACACACTCGGGTTTGCTGAGGACCGACGGCGAGAGAACACGCTGGCATACTGGCAACATCTATGAGGTGACCCTGAAACTGCGTTTCACTAGAGCGAAGGTTTTGAGGCATTTCCGAGATCAAATGTACGTACTATCTATGAGATGCAGTCGTTTATAAGTTACAACGTTGTTACAAGCTTTTCGGGCTAAAAAAGAAAGATGCGCTAAAAAAATGAAGAAGGAAGAGCAGCGGAGCTGTACTATGTCCTGCCATCTATGAGCGACGGCGGCAACCAGACAACGGGCAAGCCGATTGTTTTGTTGCCGCCGTCGTTCATAGATGGCGGTAGCTGTCCAGAGGGTGGTGTCGAGATTTATTTGTCCACGGACACGAAACTGGGGAACCTAGCCCTTAATACGTCCGCTGTAAAAAGAAGAAAATATACGGAGGCTGCATGCAAATGTTCCACGGCCTCCTGATAGATAGCGGCAGTGTGTTCTCGCGCTAAAAAGAGATTTTAGGAGGTTTTAAGGCACACGGTCTGAAGCAGTAGCAAGCGTGTGACCCAGCCTTTACACGGAGTTCTGTTGCGTGAAGATTATGTTATGTGACTGATAGCAGGGATTGTATTCGCTTATGTTTGTGCAAGCGGCTTCAGTGAGGTCGCCATGCAAGGTAAAAGCCTCGATTGGATCGGTAAAGTAAGAACAGATATCGACGAAGTAGAACGCGTACAGTCTCATGACAATGTAAAAGTTTTTCGTTTCACACAATAGGTCACCTTTTTGAATCAGATGACGTTACGAATAACCTATGGCACCCCATTGCAAAACACCCGGGGAGGTTTAAGAGAGAAATTGTCTTTTTGGTTTTTAAAGGAAGCTAGCAACGTTGAATGTAACCTTGCAGTTAATTGCCAGATATTCCGCTATTCAATCATTGTCCAGATGAACCGACGAAGAGGCTGATGAAATAATAGTAACATAAAAAGAATCGCCTTGATTTTATAATGGAGGAAACTTTCATGGCTAATTCGTTTAGATGACTCTAGTCGCTAACCGCGTTATTGCTCGGCAGTTAATAAGATGACGACATTCTGCATCCAGAACACAAAAAAAGGAACGACGAAGCAAGTAAAGTGGTGAAAATAAAGCACGCCCTGAGTTTCTTCAGCTTTCATTCACTGTAAAAATGTACCCCACAAACTGAAAACAACAACAACAAAAACAACAAACGGTGTATATAACATGGGAAAGTATTTCATGCCAACTTTGTTCGCTGATGGCAGTTCAGCGGAACAAATGAAAGCATCGCGTCTCTGTAGCTATCCATGACAGGCTGACAGTCGAAAATACGCAAGAGTCGACAAACCATTCGCTACGTTGTATTGGCTGAAGCTGCAATATTGCTTATCGAAAAAAATAATAATTATCGGTGCTGATTGAGGCCTACATTTCCGGTCTCATCGGTGAAACTTTCGAAAGATTCTAATAAACTGTTTAGTAATTGGCAGCTTAGGGTCGACACTGCGTCACTGATTTAATGACCCCAAGGGGTAATGCCATTGTAGGGACCAAATGTAGGTCCTACACATTTATTTACACTATTTACACTTTACAATATCTAACGCTATGAAAGATATCTTCGGAGGAGTTGCTTTGGTGCCCACCGAGATCGTCGGCCGTGCTGCACGCTCTGTCCAGTGTCGTGCGCTCCCCGACCTTGCGCTCCTCTTCTCTTCTTGGCGCTCGGCGCCCTACACCATTATCACTCTTCAATTGTAGAAAGGTGGTGAGCTGGGCAAGTTAGTATGATGACATTTTTAATATGACAGCGCACGAAGGACAAAGAAAAAGGATTGGTGTGTTTATGTTTATACAGCCGGAAGTTAGTCTGCCTCGTTGGGCGTCTACTGTCTGAGCTGTAGATGAGCAATTTAGCCAATGCTGTAGAACTGCTAGCCTGGGGTCTTGAACTGCACCACGCTGTAGTGATACACGACCGCACGCCGGTACGATGTTCCTCCAGATCGAAACGGGCAGGGGTGGGGATTGAACCCAGGATCTTTGGGCTCTGCAGCGTGAGCTTTCACTCACGAAAAAAAGCAAAAGAACACACGAGACACAAGTGCTGACTCGCGTTTTTATATCGCGTGCCTTTTCGATGATTTCGTCTTCTTTCTTCGTTTATTATATTTTGATTGCGAGTCAGCACTTGCGTGTCTTGTACGTTCCTTTCCTTCCTTTTTGCGCTGTTATGTCCAACAAGCTACTCTCCAATTGTGCACGATTAGTGTCATATTAAAATTCAAATTGCGTCAGTCGTATTTTTGAGAAAGCAAACAAGTGAAATTTTGCTTTTTGCCCCCAAAGTTTAATGCTTTTAGTGAGATAGCGGTGTTGTGATAAGAGCCTTCAAACCTAATTTTGTTTTCTTGCTCCAGTTGTGCTGCCTTGTCGTCTTTGTGGTCGTCGCCGTAGCCAATGCCGGCTACGGACACGGGGGCTACGGCCACGGCGGCTACAGCCACGCCATCACCCACCACTACGACAACCAGAGGGCGCACTATGGCTATGGCGGCTACGGACACGGCGGATATGGTGGATACGGTGGATACGGTGGATACGGTGGACACGGCGGTTATGGCGGCTACGGTGGATACGGTGGATATGGCGGCTATGGCGGATACGGTCACGGATACGGTGGGTTCTACGGTTGAACCCAGTGAGAATTGACAACGATGCAACGAAGTGGGTCTCTTCATTAGGGCAACAATAAACTATATATTATACGTGAACCAAAGTATTTCTTTATTCCTTTTAAGTAGAACGTTTTCTGGTTATATAATAGCAACTGTGATTAACGTCGGAGTCTGAAAAAATTGAATGATTCTTTTTTGTGTCAAAGCCTGACGACATCACTAGAATCAAGTGACACGTACGAAACATGTATTTAAAAAAAGCCGGGAAGGATCCAAGTAATTACGGAAGATTTTACTATTACAATAACAACTCGCACTGCGTTTGACGATGATGCGGTGATTTGTGTCATCTTTGGTCACTGCGTAACACATGAACTGTATAAAGGCAAAGTCAGCGGATAAATTCGTTTTGGATTAAATTGGACCAGGTTCGTTTTTGTCTGCTAGAATGGCGGGAGTATTCTATTTTAGCAATTAGAAACCTGCCACAAGTTCTAGCTCGTTAGATTTTGTAGAGAATATATAAAAATCAGGAACAAAATTTGTTCTTACTGAAATACGTATATATAAGTACGCATAATAAGTGCATTTTGTTTTATATTCTAGTCCATGAGAATCCGAATGAAATAGCCAAGATAGCAGGGTTTGCACCATGTTTCATATATTTAACTTTGCGCGAAAGTCACAAAATGATGACCACCACATTTTTGATTCACAGAAATGCATAGTCTTATCTAAGGGAATCCTGAGACATTAAATCTCTGAGTCGATTTGTTTTTGAATGTTTGTATCATGTCATAAACCGCCAAAAGATACACAAAGAGTGTCTTGAAAATAAGCGGCCACATAGCCGCCGTGCATCAGAGTATGTGAAGTGTTTAGCTAACTGCGAAGGTCGCAGTCGGGCCAAACTTAATTTCACAGCGTTATTGTCAAGTGAATCATGTATGCTTTGTACTTGAGTTCTTTTCAGGGGTACCAAACCTAACCGAACCTAACCTTTCAGACTTGTACGTAGGCCAACTCTTACTCTACTAAAGTTACTGTAGTTTAACTACGTTTCCGAGTAGTTCAGTAACTTTCAGTTACATTTTTATTTCGGTAATTAGTAGTTTACTTTAGTTGATTTTTCCGAGCAACTTCTACCCAAATTACACATTGCCTTTGAATTTTAATGATAGGTTTATTTATCTGCAAACATTCCTGCATAAAAAGATATAAGACGTTGGAAGATCAGTTGATATTTGCAAAGAGGTTGAAGCATATGGCGTAGGCAGGGAAGGGGGGGGGGGGAGAATTGGAGAATCTGAAACCCCGTCAAATTTTTACGAGCCCCCCGCTGCAACAACCCTGCTACGAGGCGCGGGGAGCTGACAGACACGTCACAAGTGAGGCCGAGTAACTGTGGGATTAGTGCCGAATACTGGCACTTTTTTGCGCCCCGAAGCTCAAGGAGACTTGACTTATTCGAAGATAGGGCTTGTCCCCGCTTCTTCCCAACGTAGGAACTCTCGCCCACTACAAGAGGTGTACACACTGCATGCATCCTCACTCAAAGGAGGCAACAAAATGCAGCACCCGCTCTGAAGCTTATCTGGTGCTTCCGTAGTTTGTTCCGTACTTGAAGAATCACGTGCTGAAGGGCAACTCAAACGTAAACTTTTGGCGTTTCCTCGGCTTCCCAAAACTCAGAATAAGCAGGTGTCCCAAGATTCAAAGATCGCTCGAAAAACCTTAGCAATACACCAACTTTTTTACATAAAAAATAAACAAGCAGTGTGAAACTACTTTAAGCACGTGGTACTTAAAGTACTACTTCAAGTATATGGTTTAAAAATTGTACTTGAAGAACATTTTCATAGCATGTACTTGTACTTTACTGAAGTATAGTTTCTGGCACTTTCCAAGGAAAGTACAACTTCCAAGTACATTCCCCAAATTTGAGAATAGATAAATAAATGGTGTATCCTCATGTGAAAATGCGCTATCATCTTTGGAGACGTGGTCATTTCTCTCAGTAAAGAAATGGAAACTATAAAAACGATAGAGTTAAGCGTCTTATAAGTTAATTGTGTTAAATAGTTTGTCAGCGAGAGTAAAACAACCTGTGGTGACTTGAATTTATCTAATATTTGCCGCCATTTCTGAACAAAAAAGAAAAAGAAAAAAACGAAAAAAAAAAAAACAGATGCATTTTTGATACCTTTTGGAGCTATGCGTACCAGTTAAAAAAAGCTGTATTGGGTGAAAGGGCAGCCTGAAAGATTGTGTTAAAAAGAACTTGCAATTTACTTTGAAAGCACACTGTATTTATAGTACTTAAGTTTAAGTACTTTGCATCTGTTGTACTTACTACTTTACTTGAAATGCATAACCTCTCATTTACTTCGCACTTTACTAAAGGCGCAAAACCTCTAATTTATTTTGTAGTTTAATTAAGTACTTTTTAGATGTTCTTTACGCAACACTGTGAACTAGCAAACACAGTGTGCAAAATTAAGCTTAGGCAGTGCGAGACCTGAAAAGGGAAATGATAATCCGCAGTACATCATTGATAAGAAAATAAAAACTACAATACAATTAGGCACACAGAAGCAGAACCAGCTATTAATGCATATCTGTGAAAACACATGCTGCTTATTATTTAGGTAGCGGAATTTTGCTAACGGATCAAAATCTGTGTACTTTTTTGTTACTATAAAAATATATAAACGTAACTGCAAAAGTAACTCGCTACTTTTTTCGGTAGTTTGTCAATTACTCAATTACTTTCCATTTGAGTAATTTTTACTGTACTAAAATTACTTTTAGGTGAATACTCAGTAACCAAAGTAAATTAGTTTGTCTGAGTAACTTGTACGTTTCTAACCTGACCTAACCTAACGTAAAATAATCTAGCCTAACCTAACCAAACTTATCGTATGCTAATTTCCGGAATAACACGCTTGCTATAAAACGCGCAGAAAAAAACAAACAAAACACGTTTTGTTTTTCAAATATAGAAGTTCCTCAAATAAGAAAACATGAGGCTTCTGTGTTGTGTCGTCCAATGTTCTCCCCAGTCTTTTGGATTTTGTCTATTATGTTCAACCATCACCAGCTTGTTTTGCGCCCCTAAGGTTTTTTTCCCCATAAGGGTTACAATTGACATAAAAATGTCAAAGCAAATGTTTTAAGGGCTCTCTTATTATAAAAAAATACTAAGGAAAGTAATTGTGTTTGGTAACAACATGCTGCTACCAAACACAGCGCTTATCAAACTTTGATCATCATTGCGAAAACAACAAGCAAACAAACCAAAAAATCTCGCCGATTGACAAAAACAATTTCCCCGAGGTGAAGATTAACGAAAGAATAAATTAATTTCCAACTATCAAATTTGGGCATCATCATCGCGCTGACCATGCGAATGCAAGTGCTCAGTCTTTCTCGCTGGCTTTTGAATTATAGTATTTAGAATTAGACATCTATCCCCGTGCCAGCCTGATTCGCTTAGATCTTCGTCACGGCATGTTTAGAGCCACTGAAAGCTTCAGAAGCGCACAACATGGTTAATTTCGAACATCTTACGGTAGCTTCGCAGGCTACCGTAAATAATAAAAAAAAAAACCAACAAAGGGAACATAATAAACCACACTCAATTTTTCTTACGATGACAACGACTTTAGAAGTAATGCAACCCGAAGAAAAACTTTAATTTCGAGAATAAAAGAAAAGATTCTGAAAAGAAATTTGGCAATTATAGAGGAGTCCCTTCGCTTACGTGTTGAATTCAGACGGAAACAAATCGAATACTAAACGTTTTAAACATAAAAGAACACAAAAAAACCGAGGGAAAGGGTAACTTTGAGGACTGAGTTCTAGCAATGTAGGTATAAATTACGCTGGTGAAACACAGCAAACTGGGAACAGGCGACTTCACTTCCCTATATTGCAGTTAGGCATTTCTAAAGGAATCTTAATATAGATTATGTAAATGTTCTGTGAGAAATATACGGTATAGTTGGTACGAATAGTTATTGGACGTTGGTTAACGTTCTGTTTCCAGCGCTGTCCCCGCGGCGTTTTGACACAAAACATTTTGATCTGAATATATTGTATTTGTTTGACTATGTGTTCAAAAGTGCTTCAATTCGCTATTTGTGAATCTTTTTACCTTCAGCCCTGCATCTTTGTACTTCTTAGATAGTATTTTGTTGCGATGTTACATTTCAGTCGTCCCGAATACTAAAGATCCAGGGTAAGTTTCTGGTCAGAGGAATAAATTGTTTCTCACATACATGATAGCGTGGTTGTCGCATTCCTTCCTTGTTAACGCTGTACACGCCAAGAAAAATGCTTACGAAGACACTCCTTAACTTTGTGTTTTAAGAACTCTTAATTAAATAGAACAGCGATTTATTTTGAGGCCGAACATTCTGCGCAAGTCTTGATTTCTGGCACAGGCGTAGTCACTCAACCGTGCCTGCCAACGAGCGAAGCTGAGAACGACACGCTGGGCTTTGATATGTCGCGTACGACTAACCTCCGATCATTCATCGCATTCGTCGGTTTTAGACGAAGGGGGGGGGGGGGGGGGCGGTGGAGGGAAGGGGAGGTCATGGTAGCCAAGGAGGTATAAAAGCTCAAACCTCGGTTGCCAAGAAATCAGTTCTTTCTGCAACGCCCACAATGAGGACCCTCGTGAGTATAGTGCCCGGTTGGATATGCTATGGTCGCTTGCTGCTTAAGGAACGCCAGGACTTGGCAGTCCCCGAGCCAAATATTATCGTTCTACGTGGTGTCCCCGCAAAAAAATGTGCAGGCCGTTATTTCACCGTCAAAAATGAACTACGCATTGCGAAACGCTATTGTCCACCGCAATGTGGCGCTAGCGGTCTGAACCAGGTGCCAAAGTTTCCGAACTGACCGCTATCTTACTCAAAAAGTATAAGTGATGTCCTCTGACAGCTTCATAACTAAGAGAGTGCCTGTCTAATTACGACGAGGTTTCTTTCTTTCGATAGGGTTATGAGAGT